TTCTGTTTGATACATGCTTCTGAGGTTGGCATTCTCTCTCTCTCTCTCTCTCTCTCTCTCTCTCCCTCCCTCCCTCCCCCTCTCCCCCTTCCTGTCAATAGTCCAGTATTCTTAAGATGCTTCCCTCTGGTCTTCATTATTTCTAATGGAAATTTAGCCTCCATTCTTATTTTTACTGCTCAAATGTAGTAAGTTACCTTTCCCTGGCTGCCCTCAAAGATTTCATTTTAACTTGGGTTTAGTTCAGAAGTTTAACTACTATGTTCCTAGGTATAATTCTCCTTGTACTTATCCTTCTTAAAGTTCACAGTTTCTTAGATCTGTACATGTATGTATGTCTATGAATTTTAAATTTTTTCTGTAATTACAAATATTTTTATATCCCACTCTCTTTTCTCCTTTTGAGACTCTAATTGAATATATTTCAGGGCATTTTTGTTACCTCTTAGATCGAGTTCTTGCTACTCATTTTCCTATTTTTCAGACTGGTTATTTTAAAACGATATCTCTTCAGAGCTACAGCCTCTTTTTCTGCCACTTTCGGTTCTTCTACAGTAATTTTTTCATTTTAAATATTGTTCTTTTTAGTTTTTAAATTACACTTGCTTGTGTTTCAAGTTTCCTATCTCAGTTTCCCAAATGTTCTTTTATTACACAAACCCTTTTCTTTGTTCTTTTAACATGTTCAAATTATTAATTTCTGTTAGTGTCCAAAAATGATGAGCTTGATTATAGCATTTTCAGATGTCTATCATTTAACTTTGTTCATATCCATCCCACCATTGCCCTCCTTTATCCTCTATGCCTGTCTCACCGGTTCCACCATAAATATATAAACATACACACACACACACACACACACACACACACACACACACACCCCTTTTGACAGGTTCATAATTCAGTTTTGTTTCAGTATTTTGCTCTAGTACGAGGTTAACCAAATGACATTCTGCAGCGACTAAACTCACATCTCTGCTCAAAACTTTCAGTTTTCAATCCCTATTTTCACTAGGGTGAGGGGTGGGTCTACAAATACACATGAATTTACGTTGCAATAATGTGTGTTGGATTACTACAGAAGTCATGAAGATGTGTAGTCTCATACAGTCTGAGCTGCCCTTTCATGAATTCTGCTTAATTATCTAGCTTCCTGCTGTCCTCAAACCAGTGACTGTCTAACACTGGGGCCTGCTGCTACCTCACCTACTGGGACCAGCTGGTGTTCTTGCAACAAAAAGCAGCAAACTCAAAGAAACCTCATGAAAGCCCACCCGGCCTCTCAAGAGTTCTTTCCTTCTACTTTCTGCCTTCAGTGACATCAAACAGGTGTTTTTGTTCAAAACATTTGATCCAGAATATACCATTTCTATATGCACTAGGCTGATTAGACTACTCTGTCATTAGTAGAACAGGGCCCTGATAATTGATTTTTATCCATAAGTGATAAAGGAATATCATCAAACTGTTCAACAGTGCTACAGAGCAAAAGATTAAAACTACTTTTAATTTTAAAAGATTTTTAAACTCTTTTACCTATTTTTTTTTAATTTAATGTAAACGAGTGCATTGCCTGCATGTGTATAAGTACACCCATGTCCTGCAGTGCCAGAGGAGTCAGAAGAGGGAGCTGGATTCCCCTGGAACGGGAGTTATAGACAGTTGTTAGTGACTGACCAATTTTTAAGAAACAGTTATGTTCCTCTACACTGGCAAATTGTGGGAGGCTAATGGCAAGCAGTCATCCCACCTCTGCCATCTGATTTTAACCTCTGCACCAAGGAATGATGGTCATTGTGCAGATCTTGTGTGGGAGATAGAAGTTTGGATCAAAAGGAATGAGTTTAAAGGTTGAGAAAGTGGGTTCAGGATACACTTTCATTAAAGATGGTTTCTGGGGCTAGAGAGCTGGCTCAATGGTTAAGAGCACTGGCTGCTCTTCCAGAGGACCTGGGTTCAGTTCCTAGCATGCACATGGTGCTAACAACCATCCGTAACTCCAGTTCCAGGGGTTTTTGACACCCTCCTCTGGCCTCTGTTGGATTTGCATGACACGGGTGCACTTACACACATGCAGGCAAAACACTCACATACATAAAATAAAAATAAATAATTTTTTTTAAAAAGATGGTTTCTGCTGTCTTTACCTAAGTGTATCTACTATATTAAAGATACATGTGAAAATAAACTTTAGGAAACTTTACCCTAGAAATGAAGCATCCTGTTCCATCCTGTTATAAGTCCATTTACAAAAGAGTGCCTGTAAGTAAAACTTTTCCTATGTGGGAGCAATAGTGAGACATGACTGACCTGAACTCATTAGTATGTTACAGGACATGCAGGTGATGAAGATTTTGTCTGGAGGCCTGAAATTAAGGTCCAAATTTTGGGGTGCTATTCAATTTTCTAATCTCAAACTGAAATAATCTATTTAACATATTGGCACTATAGTAAAGCCTTCCCTTGACTTTAGAGAGTTTTTTAGACATACTGAACTCACCATTGGTTAATGGACAAGAAGATATTCATGAGGGAAAATGTGAAGAAAGATTTCAGTTGGAGGAATAATAGAATACATGCAGCATGAAAGAAGAGGGGCAAATACTGGGCAAGAAAGGGTTAAGCAGGAATTGGGGAGAGGAAAGGGTAATGGGTAAGTTAACCAAAACCAAGATCTATGAGAAGTCTTATGGAAAGCTACTAGTTAGTAAGCTAATTTAAAAATATAATTTTAGGGCCTTGGAGAGATGGCTCAGCAGTTAAGAGCACTGGCTGTTCTTACAGAAGACCCAGGTTTGAATCCCAGCACCCACATGGTGGTTAACAACCATCCATAACTGCAGTTCCAGAGGAATCTGATGCCTTCTTCTGACCTCCATGGGCACTGCAGGACACAGGTGCACTTACATACATGCAGGCAATGTACTCATACATATAAAATAATAAAAAATAATAAACAAAATGTTTTAAATATATATTTGAAAAACAGAGTTTGAAGAGAATTACCCTGAATGAGTGGACATTGCCACTCCTAGAAAACATGTTACTAAGTAAAAACGATGTATAAGTTACCTCCCTATGAGTTATTGATCAGGAAACCCCAGAAATCTCCAAAACAACAGCAGCTGTTGTCACTGCCCTTGGATAGCCACTGTAACTACATGGTAAGACCCTATTGCTGAAGATACTACACATTTTGGCTGCAGGGTATAGAGAAATCAATTTCAAACTGACCTGAACACCCCTTCCCATCCTTTACTGGCTAGCTTTCATAGTGGCAGAAGGTGGGATGCAGGCAGCTGGGGGAGAAAAGAGATCAATGGTATCACCCAGCTCTGGACCCTGAATACAATACCAACCTGCCAGGCAATATGTGCCCACTGGTGCAATAGTGGCATGACTGCTATGGGGTAACTAAAGGCTTTTTTATTGGATTTGAGGTCTGCTCCATGGGAAGGAATTTCATGTCTGGGTCTGTAATCCTGGTCAAAAGCCTATGGCTGGGGAGATCTAAAGCCCTATGGTAGAATTTGCTGTTGCTATTCTGTTAAATGGTTATGTTGTTATATTGCCTTTTAAATATTTATGTTTATACCCACAGACCTCGGCTGCTCTCAACCTTGGTCAGAAAAGTTTCGTTTTACAATGAACAGCAATCAATACAGAGACTCATAACCAATCAAAGTGCTTAGAATAAGAGACTGGGTGCTCAGCCCTTAAAGGGATATCCTGGAGGTGGAGTGAAGGCTTAGCAGTTAAGGGAACTTCCTGTTCTTCCAGAAGACTTGAGTTTGGTTCCCAGCACCCAAGTCAGATGATTGATAACAGCCTGTAACTCTTCAGGCCTCTATAGGCACCTGCACACACAAGTCATAAATTCACAAAAACATACAAATAACTAAATAAATCTTTAAATGTGACATCCTTATCAACCTTCCCACCACCACCACCGCATACACAACCATCAGTGCTCAGATGACATCACACATCATGGAAGAGGAGATGGGAAGAATGTAAGAGGCAGAGGATGGGGAGGAATGCTGGGAAATGCTGTCTTCTGGACATGATGTGGCCACTGCATGCATGAGCTCATGGTTACCTGCACAAGTCCTGCACAAGGTCAAGCTAGCCAACATTCTGGCATTATGAGGGATATGCTCTCCAAGCCCCACCCTTACAGAGGAGCTACTGGAAGTTGATAGCTACTAAGGGAGGGAAAATCATTCTTTTATGAGGGTGTAGACACTGGTAGGTTTCACATGTTCCAATGGATGCACCCACATATATGTAGCACTAATTGGACTTAGTGGATTACATGAAAAGGAAGGAAGGAAGGAAGGAAGGAAGGAAGGAAGGAAGGAAGAAAAGAAACAAGCAGGGAAGGGGCTGTACTGAGGACACAGGGGAAGTGGGAGGGAGGACGTGGGGCCATATGATTGTATTTCATTGTACACATCTATGCAATTCTCAAGAAAAAAGAAAACCACCATTCCTGGCTAAGAAAAATATTTTAAAAGAAGATTTAAGATGTCCAGATATGACTATAATACAAGTGACTTACATAAGTGATCAGTGAACAAGCATGTTTTCAGACTACAAATAAATAATTTTCATTCCATGTATTAATCCTGAGTATTTTGTTAAATGTCTTTTTCTTTCTGAGACACTGAAGAAGGTGAAAGACTTAACTCCGAACATCACATAGGCCACAAAAAGAACATGTTATTTAAAGTAATACATAAGATTATGCCTATGATTAATCTAAGAGGAAAGCAATTCTGATGTGATCATTTAGTGATAAAAAGCAAAAAATATCCTTTCTGCCACAGAGTAAAAAGAAAAGGAAAATAAAATTATAAAGAAACTGTTTATAAGAACATCCAACAAAACAGGGAAAACACTCAAAATATCAAGATTATAATTATAAAATTAGAGGACAAGGATAAATATGTGGGGAAAAAGGAAGTATGAAATCATATGAATAGATGATGCATTCTTACCAAGGCTTCATAATCTTCTGCAATTTCTGGTAACGTCTGCAAAATTTAAAAACAACCGTGTGAGGAACACATTTCAAAGAAATGATTCTGTTATAATAAACCTACCTTGAAGAAAATTCAGGATTAGATACATGGCGATAAAAACACTATCCATTTAAAAACCTCACTCAGAGAAATCAACTGATGGTCACAGTAACAATCAGAAGATCAGGATGGATCCATGTTCAATGGAGGAGGAAACTCCAAGGGGTAAGAATGAGTGAATTTATCATGAGAAGAGTATGGCAAAAATTACTAAGCTATAAATAACCCATTTTCTTTCTTCAGTAAAATCCTCACTGCTTGTACTGTTTTCTTCTCTTGAGTGCTCAGTCTGAGGGAAGACACATGCCTGTAGAGGACCACAGTAACCAAGCAGGACCCCAAGATGAGCTCTAGGATGGGGTCTGCAATATGCAAACCTGGCTGAATAAAGGACAATTGGCTCCTAAATATTTTTGCATTTAAAAAATTGTTATTTATTCATTTTTACACAAATCTCTTCCATGGAGCCCAGGTTAGACTTGAAATTGCAATCCTCCTGTCTCAGTTTCTCAAGTGTTGGGATTACCAGTATGAGATGTCAGGGCTTGCTCTGTGCTAAAAACAAAACAACACCCAAAATCCTAGGCTTGAGAAAATACAGAATAAAATGCTCTAATTTTCTCAAGCCACCTTCCATTCATCAAATCGGTCAGACCACTCTGGCTTGTCTTAATTATATCAAGTGTATTAAGAATCTGTCCCCTTCTTAACAGCCCTTACCCCCACCAAATTGTCACACTCAGGTGGGATCCTCCCTGACCTCTGATTTTCTTTGCTCAGCCAGACTGATGGGGGCATGTGCTGGATAGCTTTAGTTATCACCTTGACATACTTGGGTAGAGAGAACCTCAAGTGGTGAATTACCTCCATTGGATTGGCCTGTGGCCATGTCTGTGGAGCATCTACTTGATTATTGAGTGATGGGGAAGGGCCCAGCCTATTGTGGGTGGTGCCACTCCTGGGCAGGTGGGCCCGTGTTGCATAAGAAAGCAGCTTGAGCAGGGGCCAAGGAGCAGGCCAGTAAGCAGCGTTCCTCTATGGCCTGTGCTTCGGCTCCTGTCTCCAGGTTCCTGCCCTGTATTCCTACCTTGGGCTCCCCCAGTGATGAACTGTGACCCAGGAGATGCAAGCCAAATAAACCCTTTTCTCCCCAAGTTGGTATTGGTCAGAGTGTTTTATCACAGCAATGTAGATAACAAACTAGAACAGGGCACCAGGCCTAAACCAGGACACACTGCCATAAACTCATAGCCCTTCCAACTCCTTTAAGGCCAGGGCTCTGTACCACCAATAATTGGCTGAAGGTCAGGCACACAGAGTAGATACTCAAGTGTTTGCTGAATGATTTCACTCTTCAGATTAAATCATGAAATATATTCTAAACTGCATAAAATATAACTCTGAGGCTGGCTAGAAAGACAGGAAAAAATGGGGGGAACATGAGAAGGGAAAAGTAGCCTTCACCCAGGGATGTGGTTGAAGCTTCTTCCACTAAATTAACAACTACTTATGACCTTTCTGCCCTCCTAGCTGTAACCTGCAACATTCCATGAATCTCACCAGAGGTCCCATTTACAGGAAAAGGACAAGTTTAAATCCCTATGCAACTGTCGAGCTCCTGGTGTTACCAGATTATAATTCCCTCCAGACCCACCTCATTATCTCATGATAAAAAGAGAAAAAAAGGAAAGAAGAAATATGTTTCTTAACAACCTTCAAGAACCACCAAAATGGCATCTATGGCTAATGCCAAGATAATTAATTGTGATACTTCCCTTAAGGTTGTGGTATCCACACTTGGGTACATCTTACTGTCTGTGACTCTCCCTTGAGAAGCTGGTACCCACACTTGAGTGTGTCTTACCTTCTGTGACTCTCTCTTAGAAAATCCCACATCCATGCTCCTGAGTGTGCCCTAGTTTAACTCTCACTGCCAGTCTCACTATTAACCCTCATGCTTAGACCTGTGTGAAAATATTTTAATAATATCTTCAGCTCTGCTTTATTATACCAGCAAGTTTGGAAATTCTTGCAGGGTAAAAACATCATATCTGGGTTAATCCATATTTGAGATATCTAAAATATTAGGAGAACCCCTCAGGCTACTGAGGGCGACAGCATGGAACTGGGGTTTTGACCCCTCACTGCTGACATCCCTTCAGAAACCAAAGAGCTGCAAAAAGACTAAGATCTCGTAGTTGGTAGTCTTGGAAGTAAAAAGCATACGGAAGTTTTCCCTCTATACCTCCCCTTTGTCCTCTTTAAATCTTTAATCTGCTTCCTTTATCAAAAAGACACTGCAATGGAATGAAAGCAGTGGAGAAACGCAGGACTGAGGAGAAACCGAGGACATTTGCAGGAACTAAATGCAATTAAAGGGAACCAGAGCTTCTTTGGAAAATGGCTCACGCCAGCACCAAGGCAAATAAAGGTCCAGATAAGAAGGGAACATCACAGTAAGCCAAAAAGGGGGAAAAAAAAATGTTCCAAAAACGGACAGAAGTGTTAGGACACAAAAAACTGCATGGCCATGGGCCAAGTCTGAAACAAGAGGAGCAGTCCACTAAAACAGGAACAAGAGAGCCGTATGGTTAGAAAGAGTGATGTGGCTACGAAGTTTAAGAACAAAACTTCCATGGGGAAAACAGGATTTGTGTCCTTTATCATCTACTATTGTGTCACTATGCTCACCACAGCCAGTTTGAAGAACTAACATGACATCTGTGAGCACAGACCTAGAAAGTCCTATACAACAATGACTAGGGGCCATCACAATCATCCCACTAGAAATCAACACATAAGATGAATGAACAGCCCTTTGCTTCCCTGGGCTGCTCACTGCGCCTTGACTCCCCCAGCCTCATTCACCCTCCCAGCTCCCTTCCCAGCCTAGGTAGTGGCCCATTTCTTGTCTTGGCACCCCAGACACCTGGACTGACCTCTTGGCACAAAATCCCTGCTGCTTCCTGATCCTTCGCATCCAGACCAACCCAGTTCCTCCCAATAGTCCCCAGGATATCTCAGGGCCTCTTTCCTTCCCCATCTCCCTTTGCATACCTGGGTGGCACAGCCACCACCTTCCTGGGACCAGCTTCTTTCCTGGTCCCTGGTCCCAGGCCACCCCAGCCCCCAAATTCTTGAGGGCAGCATCTTTCCTGGAGGGATCCAGACCTTAGGGGAAAGCCTGAGACCATCTCATCCTCATCTGACTTGAGCCTCTGTGGGAACTCCTGAAGATGAAGGCAATTTGGCCACTCCAATATAAAACCAAAAGAGAGAACCTGAAGCCTAGACCAACCAGATTTTCATGCCCAACAAGTAAACCACAAAGGCACATAAAGTTTACAAAAAGAAGCAGACCTAAACTCAACAAAGGAAGGCTTGAGTCTCACACAAGAATGAGAAACTACAAAAGAAACCCACATGTCAAAGTCACAGAGAAAAATTAATAACATGGGAAACAAAAATAATAAATCTCCACCAAGTACCAACAGTCCTATAGAGGAGTACAATGAGAACCCTCTAGAGATAACACAGGACATGGAACTCAAATGAACAATTAAAAACATGATAAAAGAATTCAGTGAATTTAAAGAACACATAAAGATATCAAAGAACTGAAAGAAGATAGGGATAAACTTAGGAATGAATTCAGAATAGAGTTAGAAATATACAAGAATACTCAAACTGAAATGAAGAAGGAAGTGAAACACTCAGTAAGCCAATTAGAAATGACAGGAGAAAGCCTCACCAATAGAATGAATAAAATGGAAAACAGAGTATCAAGGCTGGAAGATAAAGTGGATGAGCTAGACCACTCAAGCAAAGATTATGAAAGCAACTTACAAATCATAGGCATACAGGAAGGAGAAGAATCCCAACATAATGGCATGAACCAGATGTTCAACAGAATTATGGAAGAAAATTTCCCAAAATTAAAGAAAGACATGAACATAAAAATACAAGAACACCAAACAGACAGGACCAGAAAAGAAACTCTCCAGGGCACATCATAGTAAAAACACTAAACATACAGAACAAAGAGTCAATACTGAAAGCTACAAAGGAAAAACAAGTCACATATAAAGGAAAACCCATTAGCATTACAGCTGACTTTTCAGTGCAAACCGTGAAAGCCAGAAGAGCCTGGACCAAAGTATTCCCAAGTCTAAACGTCCACAGATGCCAACCCAGATTACTTTACCCAGCCAAAATGTCTATTATAGTCAAAAGGGAAAGAAAAATCTTCCATGAATTGGACCGGAGGGAACACACCTCAAAATAATTAAAGCCATATATAACAAACCCACAGCCAACATCATTCTAAATGGAGAAAAACTGGAAGCATTCCCATTGAATTCAGGAACCAGACAAGGCTGTCCACTATCTCCACTCCTCTTCAATGCAGTGCTTGAAACTCTTGCAAGAGCAATAAGAAAAGAGGAGGAAAATAAAGGAGTAATAATTGGAAGAGACCAAATTATCCCATTTTGCAGAAAATATTATTTATAGCTAAGGGATGCTAAAAATTCCAGCAGAAAACTCCTAGAAATTATTAACATGTTCAGTAAAGTGGCAGGTTACAAAATTAATCTACAAAAGTCTGTAGTCTTTTTCTATACCAAAAACAAGCAATCAGAGAAAGAGTACATGGAAACACCCCCCTTCACAATAGCTTCAGAACAAATAAAATATCTCAGAATGAACCTGACCAAATATACTAAAGACTTCTACAGGAGCTTGTATCTAATCCTTAAAAGATTTTAGGGTTACTTCTTCAGAGGGTGGAATGTTAGAGTATGCAAAAGCCCCATAAATTAAACAAATGAAAGAAGAAAAAAAGAAAAAGAAATAATTGATGGGGAGATATGGTAGGTGTTGGAAGGGAGGGCATGGACATGGATTTGATCAAAACACCTTACATGCATGTATGAAATTCTCAATAAATTTTT